GGACTTGAGGAGCCAAGTTACTGTGAATGGTGTATGCAACATCTCTTCATCAGATATTAAGGCTATGCTGTCTGATCATGCTAGAGGAAGAGTGTGGTGTGCCACTTCTCTATCATTCTCATTATGGTATGCCCTCGCCTTCTTCTAATTTCTAGCTTGCAGATCTTCTTTATGATACCATATATTCTGTATGCATAGGTGATGTATATATTCTTTTCAGTTGGTTTATACAAAGATTTGAATCACAAGAACCTTGTCTTTTTTTCCTCTTTGATATGAGATGAGTTGTCTTGTTACAAAGTTTTTGTGAAAGTGAACTCACATTTAGAAACATAATTTGATGAACAAAGAAAATTGAAACATGATAGTGAAAACTGTGGCAGTATACAAGATATAAACCTAATAATCGGTTTCTTATGTAGGGATGCTCGCACCAAGGAACTTATTAAAGTGTTTAATATTGATGGCCAAGTTGAAAATCGAGCTGAGATGCCAGTGCCACAGGATCAACCACAGGTAGAGGATGAGATGAAAGTAAAGTTTGTTTCTCAGTCAAAGAAAGAAAAGCCCCAGGGGTTTTTGCAGAGATCGCGTAATGCTTTAATGGGTGCAGCAGATGCTGTACGCAGAGTAGCTACAAGAGGTACAGGGGCATTTAATGAAGATAACAAGAAGACTGAGGCACTAGTGTTAACTACTGATGGAACGATTTGGAGTGGAGGTTCACATGGCTTAATTTTGCAATGGGATTCAAATGGAAACCGTGTCCAAGATTTTAATCATCATCCTTCTGCTGTTTTATGCTTTTGCACCCATGGTCCAAAGATATGGGTAGGATATGCTAGTGGTGTGGTTCAGTTGTTGGACCTTGAAGGAAATCTTTTAGCAGGGTGGGTTGCTCATAGCAGTCCGGTTATAAAGATGGCAATAGGTGGAGGTTACGTTTTCAGCATGGCTATTCATGGTGGTATACGTGGATGGCACCTTATGTCGCCTGGGCCAATCGACAATATAATACGTTCTGCATTGTCTTCAAAAGAGTTGACATATACTAGAGGAGAAAGTATAAAGATGTTAGTTGGATCATGGAATGTTGGTCAAGGGAAAGCCAACCCTGAAGCACTCAGAACATGGCTAGGTTCTGTAGTATCAGATGTAGGAATCGTTGTGGTCGGGTTGCAAGAAGTGGAAATGGGAGCTGGCTTCCTTGCCATGTCTGCAGCAAAAGAAACTGTGAGAATCCCCCTTTTTTTTTTATATTTTCTGACATTTCTATTGAATTTTTTCTTACTTGAAGAATAATCAGGTTTTTCAAAACCTCAATCATGGTGAGGTAAGTATGATTGTTTTATTTCCGAGTATGAGTAGAAGATACTTATAGCATAAGAAATTATGCAACTACTAAACTACTTACAAAACATAAACATATCATAGTACTGTATATATACTTCGTATACGGAAACCAACTAGATATAAAGTCTATACAGTCTAATATTATGCTTATCAGTATGCTCTACTGTTACATGATGGTAGTTAGAATGAACAATTTCAATGTTTAAAGTACGAAAGTCAAAAGCATCTTTGGATGTTTTCTTAACTTCTCTTGTACATACAGGTAGGACTAGAAGGGAGTGCCATTGGGCAGCAATGGCAAGAAGCTATTGGTAAGATCTTAGATGAAGGAATCGCTTTTGAACGTGTAGGTTCACGACAGCTCGCTGGTTTGCTCATAGCTATCTGGTAACTATGCATGACTGTTTAATCCTGATCTTAACCTCCTAGTATCAGCAGCATACATTCTCTCTAACCTCTTCTACCCGTTCTTTGATTGAACATCACTCATTGCTGCCATGATAGATTAACGGTGGCTGTTCTTCTTTTTGGTATATAAAGAGGCACAAAGGGCAATCATGTAGACATGATTTGATCCTAGACTAAGACCCAATACTTAACCAACTATGTAACTTTGATTGGCATCTCATCTTCCGTGTATGTATGATGATCTTTATTCTATATTTCAGGGTAAGAAAGAATTTGAGGATGCATGCTGGAGACCTTGATGTTGCAGCAGTTGCTTGTGGCTTTGGCCGAACAATTGGTAACAAGGTATAGACCACTATTGCTCATGAACCTCTTTATGCAATAGCCTTAAATATGAAGTTTATGCAAGCAAATACCTTGAATTTAAAGTTCATATTAAGGTTTGGTATCTATTTGTAAGTGAATCTGAATTAAGGATGAGAAATGATTGTATTTCCATGTACCTTGGTATTTTCATCTATCTGTTTTAGTTAATTTAGGCCATATTAATTTATTTTAGAACAACCAAAGGGATTATAATTGAATTTATTAATAATATGGAAAATTGGCAAGCCTCTAATCTTATACATTGATTTTAAACCTTACTTGCAGGGAGGAGTTGGATTAAGGTTGAGAATCCATGATAGAATAATATGTTTCGTGAACTGTCACTTAGCTGCGCATTTGGAGGCAGTGAATCGTCGTAATGCTGATTTCGATCATATCTTTCGATCAATGGTCTTTTCTCGGCAATCTCACTTGCTTAACGTTGCTGCTGGTATGCGATGTCTGCTTTTGTATTGCCTTCTTGCCTTATGCATATATTTATTTTGGCTTCTTTATCGTTCTGGCTTCCCATTGCTCCTCTCTCTTGCAGCTGGAGCTTCTTCTGCATCTCAAGTGCTTCGAACTGCTAATGTATGTGATAATGTGTATACTACTATTTGTTCGAATTGATTCCATATAGTAGAAGTTTTCAGCTTCTTTAGCCTGGTGCATCTTTGATTAAGCTCTAAGTGCCTGTGCTTGCAGGGTGCTAATGGGAATTCTGAAGAGGCGAGGACTGATTTATCTGAAGCAGACATGGTAGTGTTTCTCGGTGATTTTAATTATAGGCTCTTTGGAATTTCATACGATGAAGCAAGAGATTTTGTTTCCCAAAGAAGTTTCGACTGGCTAAGAGAAAAGGATCAGCTTCGAGCTGAAATGAAAGCTGGCAAAGTTTTCCAAGGAATGCGCGAGGCCATGATTAAATTTCCTCCAACTTACAAATTTGAAAGGAATGTACCTGGGTTAGGAGGTAAACTTTGTTCCGGTTGATGATGTTGTTCTTAAGTTCCACTCTTTCATCTCATTTCACAATCAAATTTCTGATTTCAGGCTATGATTCTGGTGAGAAGAAGCGTATTCCTGCTTGGTGTGACAGAGTAATATACCGTGATTGTCGTAATGGACCAGTTTCAGAGTGCAATTTGAACTGCCCAATACTTGCCTCAATTCAAATGTATGTTTATTTGGAACTATACTCTACAAAGGCCCTGATCTCTTCAAATTCAAAAATAAAGTACAGTATAAGCAAAAGTCTGTAAATATCAGCTTTAATTAGTTAAGGAAAAGCAATGGAGAGTTAGAAGAAAAAAAAAAAAACAGTGATGCAAAAATATGAGTATCATTTTAGACATGAATTGAGTTATGTGAAACCGAAAGCAAAATTTCTAATAATTACTGCGCTTCCCCCCGACAAACTCACACTCACTCTTCCTATAACAGGTATGAAGCCTGCATGGATGTTAATGACAGTGATCACAAACCTGTCCGATGTAAATTCAGTGTTCGTCTAGCAAGAGTAGATAGATCAGTTAGAAGGAACGAGTTTGGTGAGGTTATGAATACTAGTGACGAAGTTAAGACTCTGCTAAAAGAATATTCTGAGATACCTGAAACAATAGTTAGCGCAGGCAGCATAACTCTTCAAAACCAGGAAAGTTCTATCCTCCAGATCACTAACAAGAGCAAAGACGAAAAGGTAGTGTTTGATATCCAATGCGAGGGTCAATGCACTATCAATGTCACTGGGGAACCCACTGAACTTCGTCCCAGAGCTTCCTTTGGCTTTCCTTCTTGGCTTGAGGTAATGTTTCACATAGTTAATGTGATGGCTAATAAACAACTATCACAGAACACCGCCATTTTTTTTTTAAGTAGGTATTGTTATTGGGCAGGGAATTCATTAGGCATCACGGTTAGGATTGACATAAAATAGTTGCTTACAGTTTTATAGAAAGATTATCTTCGTTCAAATTATAAATCTATGTGCATAAAAATGGGTTAATAATTTTTGCAGGTCACACCTGCATGTGGCTTGATTTACCCGGAGCAAAGCATGGATGTCACAGTGCGACATACAGAGTTCCATACATTGGGAGATTTAGTTGAAGGTGTTCCTCAAAACTGGTGGTCTGAAGACACCAGAGATAAGGAGGCGGTTTTGACAGTTAAAGTTCGATGCAGTAGCTTAATGGAGTTTAGAACACACAGGATCCGTGTACGCCACTGCTACTCAGCAAGGACATTACGATTTGACTCAAGAACAAACAGTTCGTCTAGGAGGGGAAATAACAGTTACCACTACCGCACAGAGAGTCAACGTCGTGATAACAACCCTGACATGGTTGATCGTGGTTGATGTCAAGGGGAGTCCTAAAAAAAGTCCCTCGTAATTAAAGAACTAGATTTTCCGGAAGCCTTCTTTTTTCCACTGGGGTGAAATTGGAAATGTGTTTGCAATTCTTACTTAGAATGACCTAACATCTGACTGTAAATACATGGAACCAGTCGCGGTACCTTCACTTGGAAGAGCTTCAATCCTCTTGTATCGGTTGTAGGATTCATATCTTCACCTATTCATTTGATTCTTTATTCTTTATTTAGCTACAGGAGTTTCTTTTTTCATTTATCATGAAAACGCTGTAATGTTAAAGATCTAATTGTTTCGGTGTAAAGAAGTGTAGTAAACAAAATATGTAGGTGGTTAAAATATTGCACTTAATTAACCCTGAAATAGTAAAAATTCATTATTGCTTCCTACAGTTGTGCATTTTGTTGCACTCTGGTGTTGTTTACTAGTCTTTACACATCTTTATCTTACAGCAGCTGCTGTAAAAACTGAAATTTGACCAATTGAAATCCAGAACTGTAACTGGTTCACCAAATATTAAGAATATATTGACAATAAGTGCCATCATAGAGATGACCAGCAATAGGTTTAATTGCATTAGAGAGATTACATTACAGCTAGAAAATTGATCCACCGCCTGTCCTGAAAGACGGTCCTTGTCAGGCTAATGGCATGGATCATTTCTTAATACAAGGCAATCAGGCATAATTATACAAAATTATACATAGCTATTTTTACTGGATTTGAACTTCTGAATTTATTAAAGTACATACATTTTCTTATACTCGGTACTCAAGAATTCTGGATCTGATTCAGCCACTGACATAGAATAGGAATGTGACTTGCTCTCAGCTTTCTTTAACCGTCTGGATTTTGAATCACTCAACCTATGCACAATCACACAGTAGAACATGGAGCCAAGGATTGGGATCATAATCACAGCTCCGATGACTGTTGCCCATATAGCAAGCCACTTATTATGCCGGCCAACCACCACATAAGAGAGAGCAATGAATGCAACTGAGATGCAGACACAAGCCACCCACATTAGTTTGTTTATCACAAACATTAGCTGCCGTTTTGCTTTCTGCTCAATGACAACCACAGATGTCTGGACTACAACAACAGCAAGTGAGATGAACAATGCCACACTGTCAAACACAAAGAATATAATGAATGCCTTATTATTGGCGATATAAGCTTGACCAACAGATTTCCCGGGCTCCTTTTCCTCCAGATATTGGCCAGGAACTTGGAAAATAGCCGCAAAAGCAACAGTTGCTATGAGAACAGCGACAACCGTAGCATTGTTTATCGCATTGTTCAAACCGTTGGTATGGAGTTTCTTGAGCTTTTTTGCAATCTTTTGGACCCTAACATCAGTTTGATGGGTTTGTTGCAGCTGCGACTTCACGTTGTGTTTGATGTCACTCACAGTTTGCTTAAGTTGCTTCTCTGTGCTTGGAGGCTTCCCAAGTTCTTTTGCGCTGAGTGCTCCAGCCTCTCTTAACACTGTAACTAGCTCTGGTGGTCCAATTTTTTCAGCAATATCAAGCACAGTCTCCCCTGCTTTATTGATTGCATTGATGTTTATGCCTTCAAACTGTAGAAGGCAACAGACAATCTGCAATTTTAAATGAAAAAATTAGTTCACATATTTGAGGCTGTTCAGTCCAGACCTTATAGAACTCAGGTATCACCTAAGATGCAACCCAATCCAGACGCATCACTTGGTACATGATCACACAAATCGACACAACCATGTTATGACTCTGCCTATATTCCATGTTGATAACAATGACAAACTTTTAGTTAGGAAGTCAGGAACTACTGTGGGAGATGGGAATTGTAAGGATGAAGAAATAACCTGGGCACGACCCTTCTTTGCTGCAATGTGTAAAGCTGTGTTTCCCTTGTTATCTTCTAGACTCAAGATGGAAGGATCAGGTTTAAGCAATTCAATTACAATGTCTTGATTTTGGCCTTTCACGGCCATATGAAGTGCTGCTTGACCCTTTCTATCAGCCCTGAAGCCAATACTTGGATCCTTTTGTAAAAGGGCCTTGACCACTTCCAAATATCCCATTCTTGCAGCAGAATGGAGGACTGTTTTACCATTATTTCTGGCTATTTTAGCAAGGTTTGAGTCAGTTTCTAAGAGAAGATTAACGACATCAATATTTCCTTGAGTAGCAGCTGTGTGTAATGCTGTTGTGTTAGATGGATCGGTTGTCATGGCCAAGTTTGGGAACGTACTGAGAAGTTCCTTAAGCACCTCTGCATAATTAACAGCCGCATCAGAGCACTAACCAAACATTCAATATGTTTTTTTTTTTGGCGGAGATGAGAATCAATCCCAGGATCCCCTGGTATCGGGAAGGAAGTTCTAACCACTTGAGCTATCCCTCACTCTCACCAAACATTCAATATGTAATTCAACTACTGCACCATGTCACAAGCAATCATCAACTTGGACATCATAAGAACATATGCTTAGCAAGTACAGAACAAATTTGTCAAATCTACATAACAACAAAAATTCCAAAGGCAGACTTCATCCTCAACTCAGAAAAACCATCAACTGATTCCAGCTCAAAGGATTCATAAAAATAACAAAAAATAAAAATAAAAAACCCTAGAATTAGAACTTCATGGCATATAAGTTATAGGCCATTCAAAATTTTAATCATAGATGTTAAATCATCCCTTTCAAGTACACTTGCTAAAAGGCCCTAATTGCTGTATACCAAAGCCAAATTGCAGAACATTGACAAGGCAAATAGCTAAATAGGAATACATAGTTTAGGCATATTTGTGGATCTGCTTATACATTTTGTTTTTTCTTTCCCTTGTCCATTAATTACAACAAGAACCAAGTATCACTATGGAGCCATCTAAATGTACAAAGCATCACACCAGAACACTTGACACTAATTAGTCAAAACTAGTAAAGGGATCATTTCCACAATAAAAATTTCTAATTTATTTATGCTACAACTGCTACCCCCTACTAGCCTTTTGAAGCTGCTGTCCAAATTAATCAATCAAAGCCTTAATCCCATAAGTGAGGTCGGCTACATGACCGAAAGTGATTATTCCGTGTAGTCATCGGCCTACTGTCCAAGCATACTTTAATTAAAAGTATCATAAGAGACAGAACGACAATTTCAGTTGATAAGGATGCTGGCCAGTAAATACAAGATTACAAGTATATAGTAATCACAAAACAAGGTTGAATAACATGTTAAAAAGGAAAAACACACTTTGACATGGTTAATAACTCGATGGACATACAACAACACAAGTCATAGCCAAACCAAAGCATTACTGCTGAGTATGAACTTATACAAGAACAATGTTTCGCCAAAGCAATTGAAATCCTTACCAATATGACCTTGTCTGGCAGCAATATGAAAAGGGTCATAACCACTCCTAGCCCCTATTGATGCTGTGTCCAAGTCCAAATGCTTCAAAAATTCGGCAACCACCATAGCATGCCCATTCTCAGCAGCAACATAAAGAGGAGTTTCTCCTTCTTGATTTTGCTTACAAAGCATCTTCCTACAATCACTAGTCTCACAATTTTGAAACATCTCTTTGATTTTACCCAAATTACCAGCTCTAGCAAACAAATGAAGGGGCGAATCGCCTCGTTTACCCGGGGATTCTTTGCTTTTCCTCTTCTCATTGCCACCAAAGCTAAATTGCCTCTCCATCTTCAAATGAAAACTCTTCTGTTTCTCCAACAACCCACGAAAACTCTTCTGTTTCTCCATTATATCGCCTCGAAAACTCCCATTTTTCTCCATAGTTTTGCCAGAACTCTCAGATTTCTCCCCAACATTACGAAAGCTTACTTGTTTCTCTATCACCCGTCTCATACTCGGCTGTTTCTCCATTGTTTTACCTCCCATATTCCCCACTTTCTCCATAATTAAGCTCCAATTTTGTTCCTAAAATACTCCCTTGTAATCTGGTCAAAAACCCCAATTTCAATTTTTTAAGAATTCATCTCCTATCAAATTGAAAAGTGCCCATTTCAGATATCAAATCATACTGAAAAAACTGGCAATCAAATTTGCAGAAACTCAAATTCAACAAAATCCCAGAAAAGCCCACAATTTCAATAATCAATTACAAAATTCAAATTATTGTATCAAGAAGAAAAATCTCACCTTTCAGCTCAAACAGTCAAGGAAAAAGCAATCACCAAACCCAGAATTTCAGTCAAAATATAGCGCAGTTAGGCAGAGACCAAAATCGTCCTGTTGAAATTGATGCTGAAAAATCAAGCTAACAATTATATCTACTACTCTCAATTAATAGAATTAAATTAAAGTACGAAATTTAATTAGGAAAATTATTACTACTACGTTTATGAATACTGAATACATGATTTAATTTGTTTGAGAGGTGACAGTTTTTGTAGTGTAGTGTTGCTCCCACATGCTTTTTCTTTTTTGATTATGTGACAAAATTGATGATGGATTCCGTTATGTATTTATATTTTTCTATTACTCCATACTAAAATGTCTAAAATTGGGTTGTTTACATTGTTTCATATAAAAATAAAAAAATTGGGTTGTCTACATAATTTAGTAATTTCCTAGTCTCTCTGTGTTTTTTATTATATACTAGATTTAAGATTGTGCGGAATTTCAGGTGATTTATTAAAATAAGATGTTAGTGGGATAGATAAGGTAAATATTTTATTGAAAAATAAAGTGGTGTAAAAGGGAGTGGGGTTTATTGAAAAAGTGATAAATGATAAAGTAAGAAAGAATGGTGACATTAGTGGGTTAAAGATATATTATTAAATTGCAAGAGATTTCCAAAAATGAAACTCTAGCTTATAAAAAAACGGACTAAAATAATAACTCTAGCTTATAAAAAAAGGAAAAACGGCCTATTCATAGTAATCCAACCTTTTGATTGTTCAAGATTAATCCAACCATTAGGGGGTATTGTCTCCTGATGAACTTAATTTACTGGTTTCCTAAACAACAGGTCACTTTTATATAAATTTTCTTTATAATTAAATATAAAATAAATTAATTAACTGAAAACATTAATAAATAAACACACTATCTTTCTTTCGCGACCACCACCCTAGCCGTGCCACCACTGCCTTCACCAAAACCACCACCCATGCCAACACCAAACACCCCCTCTCAACATTAAAATAAATTACCACCACAAATGACAAATCACCATATCCACTGAAGGGTACTTTGATTATTCCGTTGAAGCCTTCTTGTGAGCTTCCTCTCCTCCATTGAAATAGCTTTTAAGAAGAAGGAAACGTACAGTTGTGGCCGGAGGAGGATCCGGGCATCGGCGGGGGAGGTCGGTGACAGAAAACATGCCCGAAACAACCTAAGCATTGAAGTACCATGATTTGATTGGTACAGTTCTCGAAGCTGACCGCAACTCAAATGATTTGATTGGTCTTGTTCTTTGAGGACTGATACATGAGTTAATTAAAGGGTGGTTGTTGCAATTTTCGAGTTGGAGGAAGCGGATAGGAGAGGGGTTGAGGTGGGTTATGGCGATGGTGATAGGTTGGAGGTTTAAGGTGATGGGTTGGAGGATTGGAGGTTTCAATGGTGAAGGTGGGGTTAATGGACGGGGTTAGTGGTGGCCATGGAAGTGGCGGTGGTAGTTAGCCATGAGAGGGTAGGAGAGAGAAAGGAGCAGGATGGGGAGGTGGGAGAAAGAAGAAGGAGGTTTTTTTAAAAAAAAAAATTAATTTTAATTTAAAAATCAAAAGATTAATTTAAATTAAAATCAAAAGTAAAAAATATTAAAAGCAATTACAAATCGACACTTGGATAGGTGACCTGTTGCAATGGGTTGATGACCTGATGGGGTTGATACGAGAGAAAGGATATAAAAAGTTGGATTATTATGAAATAATCGAAAAGTTGGATTATTCGGGATAACCAGCAAAAGGTTGGATTGTTCTAGACAATTTTTCTTAAAAAATCGGAGGAGTATTTCACAAAAGGTTGGATTGGAGTATTTCACAAAGTATTGGGTGGCCTCACCCAAATATTTCATACGGCAACAATATATCCTTCCCTGCTACAGTGCTACTACTCTCTCCTTCACCTTGAATTCCTCACTCTCTCTCATCTCTCCTTTTATAGTAGTTGCTGTTTGGGTCCAATTTAGTCAAAATTGGGCCTGAGCACTAAATGATCCAATTAAAAGCCCAAGGTCAAGGTTCAACTCTCCAATTGCTCAAAAGTCAAAAGTCAGCCCACAAAGTAAGCCAATTGGGCTAAAGCCCAACCTCTCCAAATATGATGAGGTATAAAAGCCCTCATATTAACACATTCAAGAGGACATCTCATAACATCACATACGAGATCAACGAGATCAGACACAACAACAGACACAACATCACATGCATTATCTCATACACGGATTATTCCAACTCATATGCTCATTCTTGCATTGAGAAATACTCCACAAAAGCCTCAAGCTACAAACTCTCTTGCATAGTGTCTTCCTTTTTACACATTGTACTGACTTTAGCATCGGAGGGGCCTTCCTCGGAAACACCCCCGAGGCTAGTTTACGTGTGTTCACTGTGCAGGAAACCTTCGGCCCAACACAGCTTGGATCGAATCCAGTCTTCTCCATTTTAGTGGACCTTCGGCAAGGTCCCATTGTTTTCAACCGAAACAATTTGGCGCCGTCTGTGGGGAAGACTTTCAAAAATCTTTAAGCCAAATTCCTAACCAAGATCATCTTGCAATTATCTTAGCAGCCATGGCTAAGAACCGCAAGAGCAAAAGCCTCCGTCAAGGAGCGGGCGAAAAGCCTAAAACCCCTACACCATCGCCCTCGCCGGACCGGAACTCTCCCAAGGGTGCCGGCTCGGGGGGAGGATCACACAAGGAGGATTCCCTATCTCCTATAATGCATGACTCTCAATATAGGCCGGACCACTCTCGGTCTAGCAGGGGTCAGTCTGATCATAGGACATATTCAGTGTCCCAAAGCCAACCATCGGCTGCACGGCCTCATTACCACACTCGGCCGGGGACCCCTTTGACGGGGCCCAGTTCGGAAGAGGTGGCAAGAGCGCTGGCAGTACTCATGGAGGCAATGAGGGCACAGAATATGCCACCGCCTCGTGATCGAACTCCTCCGCATACCCGGCATCAGCGGAGGAAGTTAGACCATGACGGTGGGAAGCTTCCTTCCTTCCGGGAACTGGAAGAGTGGGAGGAGGATTCTTGGAAAAATGAAAAACAGAGGAAGAAGAACTCTCAATTATTTAAAGGATCCTCATCCTCAAGACCAGCAGCGCATAAGAGCAGCAGCTCAGCTTCTCGGCCAGAATCTGCTCGCCGGGAACCTGAGACTGCTCGCAGAAGCGTCCTTGACCGACTCGGCGGCCAGGAACCGAGCGTGCGTAGTCGCCTCACGTTCCCTGCAGCCGAGGCCCAGACTTCCCAGCCAGGGACGAAAACCACTCCTACCTCTCTGAGAGGGCGGAGCGCGGTCCCTTCGGCCAGGAACAAGGGCAAGGCCATTATGCTTCCCGCTAGTTCACCATTCGAGCAATGGATACTAGAAGAGCGCGTACCCACGGTTAAAATACCGTCGCATATCACATATGACGGGACCACGGATCCGAAGGACCACGTGGCCTCGTATGAGACTCATATGCATCTTTGCCCCAGATCCGAGGCGACTTGGTGCAAATATTTCCCAACCACTCTCAAGGGGGTCGCGCAAGCGTGGATCTCCAAGGGAGTAAGGCAAGGCTCCATAACAGGTTGGGATGATCTGTCCTCCAAGTTCAGAAGCAAGTTTTCCACGGCAAACCGCCGAGAGAAGACTACCGCAGAGCTCATGGGTCTGCAACAGGGGGAAACTGAAAGCCTCCGAGACTACCTGACCCGTTTCAGTAACGAGTCATCAAGCGTCTCTCAGCTGGACCAGGGGCTAGCTGTTTTTGCAATGCAGAATGGCCTTCAGCCAGGAAAATTCCTAGACTTCATGGTCATGCATACCCCGCAGACCTTGGAGGAAGCTCTTAGTGCTTCGGATAAGTTCATCCGAGCCGAAGAATGGAATAAAGCAAAAACCCAACCTCAATCCGGGGGAGGGAAACAGAGGCAAATACCCTTGTCTGAAGGCCAAGGCCATAAGGCAAAGGGAAAATCAAAGGCCTCGGAGCCATCTTCGGCCAGCGACCTAAAGAAGGACAGGTTTGCCTCATACACAGGCAGATACGAGTCCTACACTCCGCTCTCTCTTCCACGCGCCAAAATTTACAGTGTGACGAAGGAGGAGCAGAGTTACCGAAAGCCGAGACCACTCCCAGAGTGGTATCAGCGAAAAAATAAAAATCAGTGGTGTGAGTTCCACGAGTCTTCGGGCCACAACACTGAAGAGTGTATCCAGCTGAAGGACCAGATAGAAGACATGGTCCGGAAGGGATACTTGAAAAAATACATCGCGGATCACCGCGAGAAAAAAGAATCCGAAAGGTTAGCAAAGGACCCTCGGCAGGACCTTGATTTCCCTCGGAAAAACAGTAAAAAACCGGAGGGGAAATTCCCTCCGATCAATGTTATCTCGGGAGGAATATACTCTCGGAGGGAGCACAAGCGTCACCTTAGAGCTTTGACTCACCAGGTGAACAACGCTGACATTCAATCTCCCCAGTCGCCGGTGCCGAACATGACGTTCACAGCCGCCGACTGCCGGGGGATTACGTTCCCTCACGAGGATCCGTTGGTGATCATCGCCACGGTGGCCAACCACGACGTCAGTAAGGTCCTTGTTGACGGTGGCAGCGGAGCAAACATTCTGTTCCGAAAGGCCTACAACCAAATTAAGCTGAAGCCCAAGCACCTTACGCCGGTACCCTATCCGGTATCCGGGTTCAATGGGGCTTCAACTTATCCAGATGGGAAGGTGACACTTCCTGTCACCATCGGTTGCGATGAGGCAGCCCGGAACGTCATGATTGAGTTTTTGGTCATCGACGCTCCTTCAGTGTACAACGTGATTTTGGGGAGACCCATAATTCACGAGATCCAAGGGGTCGTCTCAACTTATCATCAGCTGATGATTTACGTCTCAGACGCCGGCTTCCCCGAAAGGATACAGGGCAACCAGAAGGACGCCCGAAGGTGCAACTACCTCAAGCCATCCAGTAGTCGCCCAGATAACGACAAGGATGAGGAGGAGAAAGAAAAAGAAAGAGAGCCAAGCACAAAAAAGCCGAAAGGCCTAAGTGCTTCGGCCCAAGGATCAGTGCCCAGAGAAAAAGGTCCCGAAAGGGAAAAGGTTGACTCTTCATCTGAGCCGAAAGACTCAGAGAGCCAGCCGAAGAACACAAAGACTGGGACACCTGCTGACATTGGCAGCAGACCAGATTCTGAAGAGTCCAGTCCATCGGCAATGGACATGGACCAACGGACTGAAACAGTTGAGTTGGCCGAAGGAGATGCTGAGAAATGTGTAACAATCGGGATGGACCTTGATCCTGACACCCGTTGTGAACTTATTCAGCTCCTTCGGGATAACAGAGATGTGTTTGCTTTCTCGGCAGCTGATATGCCCGGGATAAGTTCAGACCTCATCTCCCACAAGCTTAATGTTGACCCAGCGTGTCGACCAGTTAAGCAAAAGAAGCGGAATTACTCCGCCAATAAGAACCGAGACATCGCAGCCGAAGTCAAAAAATTATTGGAGGCAGGATTCATTGAACCTTGCCAATATCCGGAATGGCTGGCAAATGTGGTGATGGTTCAGAAGCCCAATGGTACCTGGAGGATGTGCGTTGACTTCACGGACCTAAATAAGGCTTGCCCAA